AGCGCCCGCACTCAACACACACACACACACACACACACACACACACACACACACACGTGTTACCAGACTGAAGTTTAATCTTTAATGTCATGGTGAAATCACAAACATACACAGATATATATAGTGCTCAATTCACACACACACACACGCACGCACGCACGCACTCACTCACACACTCACTCACTCCACACACACTCACGCTCACACACTCACACTCACGCACACACTCACGCACTCACTCACTCACGCACGCTCACTCACTCACTCACTCACTCACGCACTCACACACACACACACACACACACACAGATGAATCTCACTGATATTCACAGTGGAAAGAGTTTCTAAAACACCAGTAACATGATACTAATGTAGATGCTAGCACTTTGACATATACACACCCAGTCAAAAGTTTCTGAACAGTAAGATTTTGAATGTTTCTTAAAGAAGTCTCTTCTGCTCACCAAGCCTGCATTTATTTGTTTTAAGTACAGCGAAAACAGTAAAAATTTTGAAAAATTATTACAATCTAAAACAGCTGTTTTCTATGTGAATATGTGTTAAACTGTAATGTATTTCTGTGATGCGCAGCTGTATTTTCAGCTTCATTACTCCAGTCTTCAGTGTCACATGATCTTCAGATATCATTCTAATATGCTGATTTGCTGCTCAAAAATGTTATTATTATTATAATGATGTTAAAAACAGCCGAGTGGAATGTTTTCAGGTTTCTCTGATGGATAGAAAGTTCAGAAGAACAGCATTTATCTGAAATCGATATCTTTTGTAACATTATAAATGTCTCTATCATCACTTTTGATCAATTTAAAGCATCCTTGCTAAATAAAAGTATTAGTTTCTATAATTTCTTATAGAAAAAAAATGTATACGGTCTCCAAGCTTTTGAATGGTGTAGTGTATAATGTTACAAAAGCTTTTTATTTCAGATAAATGCTGATCTTTGGATCTTTCTATTCATCAAAGAATCCTGAAAAAAAAATTTACTCAACTGTTTTAAATATTAATAATAATCAGAAATGTTTCTTGAGCAGCAAATCATCAGAAACCTTTGACTGTGAGTGTAACTTGACACTAAATGATCATAAGATACTGATGTAGCTGATATTTATATAAGATACTTGCTCTTCTGAGTGCTGCAGGTGTAACTTCACTCATATTATAAACAACTCACTGCACTAACTCAATATCATTTTAAAATTCCCTGATATTTCAAGGAACGATTCATTAATTGTGTTCATTAACTATTCATGGATAAGAACCGATTCAACGAACGATTCGTTCAGGATTTAGCTCTACACAAGCAACATCGCGCTAACAGCTAACCTGCAAAGTACAGACTCACAATCAGTGTACAATTCTCTGATATGTCATGATTTCTCTGATGATATGAGGAATATCTCGCATCAGGAATCAGATGTGAAGCATCGCTCATGAAGACAGAATGAATCAGTGATCAATCAGAACAAACACAGACGAGTCTGAGTGTGTGTGTGTGTGTGTGAGTGTGAGTGTGAGTGTGTGTGTGTGTGTGTGTGTGTGTGAGTG